CAGTTTTATAAAACACCAATTTCACGAAAACATACAACAATTTAACTATAGCAATTTGGATAATGCTGGAAGTACAGGAGGAACTTTACAGGAACTTGACTGGATTTTAAAGTTTGATTACGTGGCAGTTTTTTTAGACAGGAAGACATAGTTTTCTTCTTAGGATTTGATCTACTGATTAATGGAAACACTTGAGTATTCTATTGAAAGATGGACATTAAGTTTTAAGCACGCATAAGCCACTACAAAATATTACAATTTTATACAAATTTGAAAACCAAAAGGAAATTACCGGCAGGTAAATCATTTTCATCTCTATGGTTTCTCCGGCCACTATGCTGCCAACGCTGCCCATCGTTCTCCTCTTTCGTTGCTTCTTCCTGGACATGATTGTTCAGAAACCTCGGCAGCCCTACAACATGTGAAAAAAAAAATTAATTAATTAAAAAATAATAATAATAATAATTAACACAACTAGCTCATAATTTCTGGGATTCACTTCGGAGATTGCATCAAAAGCAGATGGGAGGAAGAAGAGGAGGATAGATTTGGATCGAACAAGGGTTTGTACGAATCGTTCTTTAAAACGGCGTAGTTCTCTTCATCGTCCGAGGAGTTATGATATTGTGGGTCTCCTAGTTAGGTCTCCTCCTTCTTCTTCGGTCGAGGAGTAGCTTTGCAGCAGGGACAAGCTCATTTTATAAAAAGAGAATTGCACTTCAGGTCCTCCAATTTTGAAGGGGCATTGTTTTGTTAATTTATGTTTCAATTAGAACAAAAAAATCCAAAAACTTACTTCAGTGACCATTTTGTAATTTTGTTGTAGTTTCAGTGACCATTTCTAAAATTAACCCATTGAAGATATATCAGAGGACTCTTGAAGATGGAGGACAACTTTAAATACAGACATGGCTGATGTATGCTTGTCAAATCATCAATCATAGACTTTTACCTAAACCTTACATAAACGTCTCTTTGATGTCTGAACTCTCCTTCACCTTTTCCTTTTCAGAATTGTGGAAGCAACTCATTTCTTCATTCTCACTCATCCCCTTTTCTCTCTCTTGAAATCTGTGAAAAAACGAGCCCAAAATTTCTAGAAACGAAAGAGAAACATGTCTTCCCCAACCAAGCGCCGTGAAATGGACCTAATGAAGCTGTTAATTCTCTACATAAAATCTTTAATTTTTGCTTATTTGGTGTGTTATTAAATTTTTAGTTCTTGAATGTATATTTTTAACTTTTTTTTTGGGAGTAGGATGATGAGCGATTACAAGGTGGAGATGATCAATGATGGGATGCAAGAGTTCTATGTTCATTTCCATGGACCTAATGACAGTAAATCTCTCATACCCATCTTTTTATTCTTAATATTTTTTAGTTTATAATTAAAATTTTGAGGCTTTTGAGGTTTTCTTCAGTTATTTTCTTAATTTATACCTGTCGATTATGCGTGTTTTACTGTGTTTTTGGATGTATTCTAGGCGATTTCTTTGATTACCAGTTACCATGATTATTTTTAAGGATTCTTGTAGGAAAATACAAAAAGGGTTCTTTTGCTTTTTCTTGACATGGAAATTAATTCAATTCTGATATAGTACCAAAATTTATAGTGTCTTCTTAGGTAAATCTAGAATGAAGAATGATCTTAATAAAGATTATTGGAAGGAGTTGTCTCTTATTTATGCTGTTACCATCTTGTTGTGCGAAAGCGCCAATATTGGGTTTGTGAAAAATATGATCTCCATAAATACGTTTGTACTCTGTCTAGTAGTTTAAGCTTATAGATGAGATGGTACAAGTCTTAACGCTACTCATTTATGAAATCATGCACGTTTCAAGGTTTTGATTAAAGAAATGAAATCTAATCCCCATGTGATGGGTTCGTGTTCACGATATAATGTGGTGTGTTTAAGCCCCATTTTTTGGTGAAAATGGCTTTTGTAATAGTAATTTTTTGAGAATGTGTGGTTAAAAAGTTAAAAAAAAATTGGGTTTACTGTGTAGCTCTTGTTTGTATGGAGATTTTGTAATATACATTTTTCTCTCTTTTATTTTCAACCATATACATTATTCAATAAAATAATATTATATGCAAATCCAAAATTTCTCTTTATTTTTTAACCACACATTATCCATCAAAATACTATTCCAAAATGCATTTTAGGCAAAAAATGGGGCTCAAACGGGCTCGTAAAATTATTTTACTGGGACAATTTGTAGTTGAAAATGAGTTTGAGGAAATATGATTTTTGGAAAATGGGGCTCAAACAGTTGCTAAGTTTGTTATCCATAACATGTTAAGCTTTTAGATGGGTTGGTTCAAGATACTATTTTTGGAATTTACTTGCAGTTTCTGTTCGTCTCTCTGGTCGACCAAACTAAATTATGAAGGATTCGGGATGGCTATTCTGCAAAAAGAATCTCTTTTGGTATCTGTTTAATTATAACTTCCTTGTTGTCTAGTGTCTGTGTTATGATTCAAGAACCCAATGTATACTAAACAAGAATGAGCAAAAACAGAGAATAAAAAGCGGAAACAAAAAGCACAGGGTGCGTGTCTGAGAAAATTAGTTGTGGTGCAGAGTGAAGGACAAACAACTTATACCCTCTTGACCTGTTGCAGTGCCGTTGAGTTGCTCCTTAATTTTGCGACTTTGCTTAGTGATTCACACTTCTATCGTTTGTTTAATTGAATCCCCGTGTCAACCTTTCTGATTGAATGTGGTAGGTCCTTACCACGGTGGTGTATGGAAAGTAAAGGTGGAGCTTCCGGATGCTTATCCGTACAAATCTCCGTCCATAGGGTTTGTTAATAAGATCTATCATCCAAATGTTGATGAAAGGTGAGTAATATAGTGTTCGAGATTCTATATTTTCCGTTTATAATAAAGAAAATCCTGATATTTTATGATTAACCAATTCAGGTCTGGCTCGGTTTGCTTAGACGTTATCAATCAGACCTGGAGTCCCATGTTTGGTAATAAACCTCTGCTGTATTTTATGCATCTTAATTGTGATTCTTGATAATTATTATTTACTTATTATGACTTTGGTCCGAAACGCTTGTCCAGATCTTGTGAATGTGTTTGAAGTATTTATACCACAACTTCTTCTGTATCCAAATCCATCGGACCCTTTGAACGGTGAGGCAGCAGCTCTGATGATGCGCGATAGAATTGCATATGACTTAAGAGTTAAAGGTATCGAGATTTTTACTCTAATGGCATGTTTGATAAGTTATTGTTTGCATTTACTTATAAGTAGCTTACAATTCCAATATCAAAGTCAAATTTTAATTTTAACTACGTATTTCGTAGGACCACAACTACTATCACTTATTCATCGCTCATTTCTATTACATAAGAATTTCAGAAACTTGTAAGTAAAACCAAACAAGCTGGAAAAAGAAACTAACATCCTGTCAAGTCCTTTTTCAGTACTACTTACCAAAAATATAAGTTAAATATTTAATAAAGAAATTGTTGTTGATTCAATCTGACTATCTGAGAGTGTTCATTAGCCATAGGCTGATATCGGGCTTCCTCATGGAGTCCCATTTTTCCAATATGCACTCAATATGGTGACTGATACTATGTTTTCAATCTTACGAAATTGCTGCTTTCTTGTTGTGTCGTTTCTTAACAATAACATTGTCACTTCAGAACAGTAATGTTGTTTTCTTTCATGGATAAAAATAGTCACTCATTCCGTAATTTTTGTTACAAGTTTTACAGTACCATCACGAACTCCCCCCNNNCCCCCCCCCCCCCCCCCCCTTGCGGTTAATATTGTGCTTGAATTTGGATATTGGATTCTTATCTTCGAATATATATAATAAAATGTTCTGTTTCATGCCTTATTTGGATTAAAACGTAATGAGAATTATGACAACAAATTTGCTCATCATACAGAATACTGTCAAACATTTGCTAAGCCGGAAGATGTGGGAGCCGTCCCGGACGAAAAATCAAGCGACGAGGAGCTTAGTGAAAATGAATACGACTCTGGTGATGAGGCTGTTGCCGAGGCATTGGATCAATAGCCCAGATTCTGTATCTGCAATTGCTTGAATTTGAACATGGTGATATGGATCCTGCTCAAATTTGAATTGCACATGAGATTATTCATTGGAATGGACACAAAAGAAGTGATCCTTCCCTTTTCTTTTAGTTTATGTAAATAGATGCAAGTGTAACCCTAATTCACC